TTAAAGATCTTACTATATAAGGCAATAAGACTTACAGATATTGAAATTGTATAGTGCTTTAAGTCTGCATTAAGGACTAAAAATTTAGTCCAAGGACATTGATTTATTAAATACTGAGTGGCTTCTATGTTCCAAGCCTCGATCTTGGTGCTAAGGATACAGCAGAGAATAATGCAAAATCCCTGCCCCCACACAGTCTACACTGTATTTAGGTGATGAGGAGATGATTTAGAATGAAATAAATAAATAAATAAGAGAATTTCAGCTAGTCATAGGAACATTGAAGAAAATACAACTGGGAAAGGCTTCACCTAGAAAGAAAAACTCAATCTGCATGTTAAACAAATGATAGGAGCTGGGTCAGTAGTGAAGAGGGGCAGCTTGAGCAAAGGATTGGAGATGGGAATGAGTGATAAAATAAGGGGAAAAAGGTTTTACCGGGTACAGAGAAGCCACAATGTCCAATATAAAAATTTGTTTAAAAGTTCATACATAGAATGTTTTGTCTAGTAACATGGACCAAGTAATCAAAGTTCTAATTGATGACATTAACTGACAGACTTTCCAGGAGCAATTTAACTTTCTGATTACCAAGAAAGAATTTGATTATTGTTCTAAAAGTAAGGCAGGTCATTCCATTTCATCCATTTATTCTACCTGCACATAAAAGTAGTCTTTTTCAGGACTTTTTTGTCTTTCTACTCTTGAGGCAGCGCAATGTGCTTGGTTAAAATGTGCCACATTCAAGATGCAGCAATTGGATGCCTTGTTTCCCATGATTTCAAGTTTTCAAAATTTTATCTAGAGTTGTTCCCGTGTCTAGGGAAAGGAGAGGAAATATTTTTCTTTCTCTCATGGCATAGCCTAGAGCCGTGGTTGGCAAACCGCGGCTCGCGAGGCACATGCGGCTCTTTGGCCCCTTGAGTGTGGCTCTTCCACAAAATACCACGTGCAGGCGCACACGTACAGTGAGATTGAAACTTCCTGGCCCATGCACAGAAGTCAGTATTTTGTGGAAAAGCCGGTATTTTGTGGAAGAGCCACACTCAAGGGACCAAAGAGCCACATGTGTCTCGCAAGCCGTGGTTTGCCAACCACTGGCCTAGAGCATGCACAACTCAAACTAATACTGATCGATGATGTGAAGTTTAAATGGGCCTTGTGCTCTGCCTGGTGACTCTATCTACCATTGTCTCTGCAGGAAACTAATCCAATCCATAGAAACT